CTATTGATTTCAGGAGGAAGGGAGAGGGAGAGAAACATCCATGATGGGAGAGAATCATTGATGGGCTGCCTCCTGCACGCCCCCCAGTGGGGATATGAAGCCCTGCAGGTGCCCTCACCTGGAATGGAACCCTGACCTCCTGGTTCGTAGGTCAATGCTCAGCCACTGAGCCACGCCAGGTCTGGCCCATGTTTATGTGCCAGAATGAATGACACAGACACTAGCATGGCTGAGATTTGGTGAATTGGCTCACACTTTCTCAAACGTGAACGTGAGCCTCTCCCTTCAGGAAATAACACCTGGTAGGTGCCAGCTGACAGTCCTGTTGTCTTGATAAAACGTCAGCTCCCAAGACAAAACCAGAATGTGGGAACAGGTCTGTGCCACCACGTGAGCTAGACCGCTTCCCATTGCTGACACGCTTTCCTAGGGGGCTCTGTGGGAACAGCAACACCTGTGAGCTTTGATGATGTGATTCAATGCATCAGCACGGGAAGGTCTCTGGGACTTAGAGACACAAGGCATCACTTTACATAACCTGCATGAGGACAATAGCCACCCAACATGACAGCCCTGGGGACTGTGACAGAACAGAACAGGAAATATTCAATATTCCCAAGCCAGCCTGGCTCAGTGGTTGAATATTGATCTATGAAACAGGTCACAGTTCCACTTTTTGTCAGAGCACATGCCCAGGTTGTGGCTCCATCCCCAGTGTGGGGCATGTAGGAGGCAGCTGATCAGTGATTCTTTCTCATCGTAAATATTTCTATCTCTCTCTCCCTCTGTGAAATTAAAAAACATATATTTTTAAAAATCAAAACTAGAAGAATATAGTCAATATGGTTTCAGGTTTCACTTTGCAAAGCCCTTTTCGAAAACTACCACTTGTGTGGTTGTAGTGACTGTCACGGGTGACCATCCACCCTTATCTGAAAAGGTGAGTAACGACACTGCTCCGGCCCATTTCTGTGAGGCCGTCTATTTCTTAATCTGCTGCAGCCACAATAACAGATAAAACTCAGAATCAAATATGAAAACCCAGCGTCTCCCAGGGAGACGTGCAAGGATGTAACATGGCAGCAGGTCCCCTCCTCTCACCTCCCTGTTCACTTGGGAAACTGGTGTTTTTCATAAAAACATAATTTCTGTTACCATCTCACAGGCAGTGAGCATGTGACATGGATAATAACTGTTTCACCCTGTGTGACCCCGTGAGTGGTCACTATGATGACGTCACCACATACACAAGGTTATCTGGGCGCCTGCCTGTGTGTGAGGCCGCACAGAGGTGGTGACACCAAAATCTTGGAAAGTCCCTGAACAGCACAGCGCCTGGGCCAGGCCTCGAGGACAGTGTGACGGGCGCCCCGCGCAGGAGGAGGGTCAGGGCCGAGTCCTGGGGCCCAGGCCTGCGCTCAGGTCTCCGCAGGGGACAGAGTCTGGGGGTGCAGCTCCGTGTGGGGGACTCCCTAGCGCCTGGGTTTCACATCTCCTCTCCCAACTTGTGTCGGCGCCTCCTTTCTGGAGACTCGTGACGCGGACACACTTCTCACTCCCATTGGCTGAGCGGTTTCTTGAGCAGCCAATCAGCGTCCCCGGGGCTACGGGTTATAAATCTTCCCCGTAAGCGTCCTGACTCAGATGGTCCCCCCGACGCCAAAGATGCGGGTCCTGAGGCCCCCCACCCTCCTCCTGCTGCTCTCGGGGGCGCTGGTCCTGACCCCCAGCTGGGCCGGTGAGTGCGGGGTCGGAGGGGGCGGCGGTGCGGGGAGGAGCGAGGGGACCCGGCGGGGGCGCGGGACCGGGAAGGCGAGTGTCCAGCCCCGGCCCTGCCCTCCGTCCGCCCCCCAGGCCCCCACTCCCTGAGGTATTTCCACACCAGCGTGTCCCGGCCCGGCCGCGGGGAGCCCCGCTTCCTCGCCGTCGGCTACGTGGACGACACCCAGTTCGTGCGGTTCGACAGCGACGCGGCGAGTCCGAGGGCGGAGCCGCGGGCGCCGTGGATGCAGCAGCCGTGGGTGGAGCAGGTGTACCCGGGGTATTGGGACCGGGAGACGCAGAACTTCAAGGCAGCCGCACAGATTTTCCGAGATGGACTGCAGACCCTGCGCGGCTACTACAACCAGAGCGAGGACGGTGAGCCGCGCGCCGGGCCCGTCACGACCCCCCTCCCCACGGACGGGCCGGGGTCACCCCGAGGGTCTGGGTCTGAGCGTCACCCCGAGGGTGCGGGACCCGCCCGGCCCCCACCCGGGAGGAGCCCGCGGGGACTTCGACCCGATTTCACTTTCAGTGTTAGATCCAGTCCCCGCGGGGCGGGCGGGGCGGTGCTGACCTGGGACTGGGTCAGGGTCTCACACCTACCAGTGCATGGTTGGCTGCGACTTGGGACCCGATGGGCGCCTCCTCCGCGGGTATTGGCAATACGCCTACGATGGCGCCGACTACATCGCCCTGAACGAGGACCTGACCTCCTGGACCGCGGCCGACAAGGCGGCTCAGATCACCAAGCGCAAGTGGGAGGCGGAGGGTTGGGCAGAGCGTCACAGGAGCTACCTGGAGGGCCTGTGTGTGGAGTCACTGCTCTTGTACCTGGACAAAGGGAAGGAGACCCTGCAGCGCGCAGGTACCAGGGGCCCTGGGGCCGCCCCCTCTCCCCGGGGCTGGGGCTCCTACAAGGAAACAGGACAGGGGGTCAGTGTCAGACACCCCTCCTTGGGTCAGGGAGGGAGCCCAATGGATTTCCAGGTCAGGTACCAGAGGGACCCCCCTCTCAGGGACAGTTAGGGGTGCAGGCTCTCCTGGGGTGCAGGGAGACCCCCTGAAATAGCCCATCAGCGGTACCCATGGGCCCTGCAGGGGCTCTGGGACCCACGGGGACCTTCTCTCTCAGGCCTTGTGCACTGCCCACACCCACTGTGTCTGAGGCCTGACCCCAGCTTTTCTGAGTCACGTGGCCTCCACTCAGGTCGGGACCACAAATCCCTTTTCTCCCCTCAGAGACCTGCCTCCTGCCCTGGGCTGCATCACTTTGATTCTAGAACTTTCTAAAGACTAGGAGGTCCTTCCAGGAGCCTCTGTGCAGGCTGGTGTGTGGGCTGTGTGCTCCCTCCCCCACCCAGGTGTGCTGTCCATGCTCAAGATGGTCACATGAGTGCTGCTGGAGTGTCCCATGGCAGATGCAAAGTTCCTGCAATTTCTCCCCTCCCCTCAGACCCTCCAAAGGCACACGTGACCCACCACGGCGTCTCTGAGCGTGAGGTCACCCTGAGGTGCTGGGCGCTGGGTTTCTACCCTGCGGACATCAGGCTGACCTGGCAGCGTGACGGGGAGGACCAGACCCAGGACATGGAGCTGGTGGAGACCAGGCCTGCGGGGGACGGGACCTTCCAGAAGTGGGCGGCCGTGGGGGTGCCCCCTGGAGAGGAGCAGAGATACACATGTCATGTGGAGCACGAGGGGCTGCCCAAGCCCCTGGCCCTGAGATGGGGTGAGGAGGGGCCGTGGGCACAGAGCCTCTTCTCAGGGCAGCACCGACCCTGGGGAACCTCAGTGGGGTCGGGGCTGAGGCCTGGGGTCAGGGCCCTCACCCTCCCTTCCCTTCTCCTCCCAGAGCCGCCTTCTCACACCTTCATCATCATCATCATGGGCATCGCCGGGGTCCTGGTTCTGCTGGGAGCTGTGGCTGCAGCTGTGATGTGGGGGAGGAGGCGCTCAGGTGGGCAGGGGTGGGGTCTGAGTGTCTTGTCCCCCTGGGGGTTCAAGCCCAGGTAGACGTGTGTCCCGCCTCATTCATGGGAAGCACTATCCCCATGGTGTGATGGCCAGTGTGGGGCTCTCTGTGCTCACACTTACTCTTTAGTGAGGCCCGTGGGAGCTGGTGGTGGGGACCCCGTTCCCAGCAGCCCCAGGACAGAGGGCAGGTCCTTACTGAGCACAGACCTCCAGGAGGGCGGTGGGTCCAGTCCCCACACATGCATTTCCCTCAGGTTTCCTGATCCTGCCCTGGGTCTACAGGGTTCTGGAAACTTCCCTGAGGCCCAGGACTAGGGCTTCCTTTAGGACCTCATGGCCCTGCCTCCTCCCTGGTCTCTTAGGGGATGTTTTCTTCCCGCAGGTGGGAGAGGAGGGAGCTACGCTCAGGCTGCCAGTGAGTATGGGCGGGTGACCCCAGAGACCCTGTGACAGTGCAGACTGGAGCCATGCCGCCCCCCCTGCCCCGCCCATAGTTCCTCCTAGTCTCCTGCCCTGGGGCTCTGACCCCATCCTGGTGTGTTTCCCCCTGGCAGTGACAGTGCCCAGGGCTCTGATGTATCTCTCTCTGCTTCTAGAAGCGAGACCCTGCCGTGGGGAGGGATGGGCAGAGGGGAGGACTGGGTGGTGGGGAGTCTGAGGGACACTGAGCATGAAGTGGACTCTGAGAATGTCACCAGTTACAGCCACTGACCTGAATCTGTTCATGATGCTTGTCCTCCACAGCGTGAGGCAGCTGCCTTGTGGGGACCGAGTGATGGAAGATGTGTTCACGCTTCCACTTCCCGACTCAAGAACCTCTGATTGGGGGGCTGGCCCAGCCCTGCTCCCCACACTTTCCTGTCAGCAGAGGCGGGGCTGGGCCTTCCCCATCCCTGCCTTTACTCCCTGGGTCTGTGAGCTGCAACTTCCTGCTCCGTATTGAAATGAGACTTTGGATTGACCTGTTTTTTTAATTCTTGCCGTGACTGGTGACGGGTAATTAAAGGACATCCTTTATTTAAGTATTTTCTTAGAGGAAATAAATGGAAACACCAAGGATTCTGCAGATTCCTGTGTATTCTGTGCTCTTTGCAGGGGGGACTGGAGGGGCTGTGAGACCGGAGTGAGGTCGCTGCCTGTGCCCAGGTGGTGCTCAGTGCATCGTGGGCTTTGACGTGGCCACTCCTCGGCCGGGTCACCTCTCTGCTCCTCTGACCTTGTCCCTCAGTGGAACCCTGTCCCACCAGGACCTGTGGTCACAGGAACTCACATCCCCCAGCTCTTGTCACTTCTAATGCAGCGCATCTCCAGGACCCTCGTCATCCTAGGCTCAGGTCTGGGTCTGGCCCTCAGAACCTGTCTTCTGGGTGTTTGTTGTTTCTTTGCTTTTGTGGATATGATGCTTGTTACTGTGTTTGTGTAGGAGTTTTGATTTAATTCTCTGGGTGTCCCCGTCTCACAGGATCAGGGCTCCTTTTTGTCGTCATTGTCCCGCAGGCCCAGGGGTTCCTGCACACGGGACTGTGGTGTGGAGAGATGCATTTTCAGACTCCTCCTGCTCTTGCCTCCTTCTCGGGCCTGGGACTTCAAAACCTCTGCTCAGCTTGGTCTTTCTGGGGACCAGCCCCCACCCTGAAGCCTCCAGGCCTCTCAGCCAAGAGCCATCTCATCAGCGTCCCAGAGACACTTGTCACTCAGGAGATGCCCAGGGTTGTAGGAGCTCAGTGCCAGGAGCCAGGGGCAAAGACCAGACACTTTCTCAGATCCATTCATAACAACAGTGTCCCAATAATTGAAGATGCTGGCCCATGACCAGAGTCCCACTCACTCATGAACCATGTCCAGTGCATCGTCCTTTGAGGATGGTTACTTGGCCCGTACAGTTAGGAAAATTGCCCAACAGTTTTAGTCAGAGGCGAAACTGAAATTCAGCCATAATGTGATATTGCTGCACACCTCCCAGCATTGAGAATGACAAAGTCAGACAAAATCAATTGTTCACAAGAATGTGGACTCATTCTCTCTCAGATATTCCTGGTGGGAAAGTAAGTTGTTTCAAATATGCTGACAAATGCATTGGCCGCACTCCCTGCACCTAGAGACTGAGAGCAGGATGGGATGTCAGGGGGAGTCAGAGGCTGAGCGTCACCGACGGGATGACCAGAGATCACACACAGGACGAGGGAGAGAGTGAAAGGCTCAGAAGGACAGATGAACCGAACGAAGAGACGCCTGTTGGCAAAAGTGTAGAGAAAAGAACCCCTACCCATGTTGGTGAGAATGTACTTGTTCTCCAGAAAGGGATTTTCAGCCCTTACCTTCCTCAAACCACCCAACTTAAGTGATGGCTCCCTCACCGGTTGGGCAATCCTACTGTACCCCCCAATGCATCCTAATGCGGTGCCCCACATGGGCTGTCACAGCCGGGAAAGTTAGTCAAGATGCCAGCTGTCCCACTTCCCCTTTTGAATGAAATAATAAAAGGAGAGGACTTAATGAGGGCACAGGGATCTCACATATCTTGCAATTTACAGGAAGTCACTCTGCCCCATGGGACACCTGTACATTCCTGAGCAGAGACAGATAAGACAAGGGAAGCAATTCCATTGAAGGGTAAGGAAGTCAGGATGAAGCAGTCGGTGTAGAAACACACAGATGGGAATGGAACCTGAGAGTTTCTTCTCAAGGGACGCCGAGGGGTACCTGTTGGCAACTCTACCTGGACAGGAGTGAAGGGACCACGGGCCTCCAATCCAATTAGTGACTCCACACGGCCCCTTGATAGAAGGGAACTTTTTCCCCGATGCATTGTGACCCTTTATTACTTCACAGAATGCGTTTCTTACTCTCGTGGACAGTGTAGGAGTTTTATAGAGAAAGTGGTTGACTCCATCAAGTTCCCAAACAAATACTGACAAGAAACCGTAACTCATTTTCCTGCATCCCAGCAGCGATCGGAATTCCTGCCCAACACATTGTAGGGAGGGCAGGATGGAGGCAGGTCCTCAGAATTGTGGCTGATTTCTTCTCGAGTCTGAAGAGAGTCAATGCCAAGCCAGGTCAGGCAGTCGCAGGATGGACTGAGAAAGACGTACATCCCCCAGGTTACAGCTGACTTCCCTGCCTTCCTTCTTCGCCCAAGATTGGTCTGTGACGTGCAGGGGGGTGTTTTTGTTTGTGACACTCATGAACAACGTCATGGTTTCTGCGTTCAGACCCTTTATGTGGAGCCTGAGAAAATACCGAGGGAGAACTCTGTTCATCCTCCGAGCTCTAGTCTGGCTTTGTGGCCTCCAGGACCCTTGTCCCCATACGTCATTCTCCGGGCATTCTTGGGGTCTTCGATGTGGACTCTGAGGGAAAAGGAGACGGCTTTCTAGAGGGAAAACTCTCATTTTGACAGTAGACAGAGTGGTCTCCATTAAGCATTGGATCACAAGGTGAGAATTCCATTGGAAGAAGAGCTAATACTAGCCACTGACACTGTGGAGCTCAATCATCAATACTTCCCCCCATGTAGCATTACATGGTCACCAGAAATGATACCGTCAATAATTTATTGACTACAACATGGAGGATCACAGCTTTTTAATTAAAATATGATTACATGCATAGGGGAAATAGTCAATAAGATTGTTAATTACTATGGGTGCTGTCAGGTGGGGACTAGACTTTTCAGGGGGATCCCTAGTTGAATTATACAAATGTCTAACCACTATGAAATACACCAGAAACCAATATAATCCTGAACTGGAATTGAAAAATAGAAATAAAACCGATGTATGTTTACATGATTAGAGAATGGAGGAGCTCCTACTCCAGCGCCATGATCATAGCATTTTGATTCAATTTCTTTAAAGCGAGGAGGGGCGTTGGGAGGCACATTCATTTCCTTGTGCCCTCTCTGTCTGTAAACGTCCCAATGAGCAGGTAAGTACTGACAACCTATAAAACTTGAATCAAGGTTCATTTCTTTCATTCATTGTTTAAAAGTTAAATTTATTGGAGTGACATTCTATATAATAAAAACCCAGCGACTGAATGGCGGAATGACCACGACAACCAGTTGACCAGTCACTATGACGCACAATGACCAGGAGCTGCCCCCTGGTGGTTAGTGTGTTACACAGTGGGAGCACCGCTCAGCTGATGGGTCCACAGCTGCTGGGCTGACCAGGATTAGTGGTGCTCCCATAGCGGTCTTATCTCCAAAGGCCGATCCACCCTTTGCATGAATCCCGTGCACTGGGCCCCCACTGCATCTGACGCAGGGGGCGCCCTTACCACTGCCACGTGCTGCCTCCATTTCTGCTCTCTGTGTCCCCGCCTCAGGGGACGCTCACTTGGTTGATGCAGACCTGCCATGTCCTGCTTCCTGCCTCCTCGCTCTGTGTCCCTGGCTGCTGATTTGAAGGGTTGTGGAGCCCCTGGGATCCTGGGCTGCTGGGCGTGACTATTGACGATCTCACCTGTGGACGGCAGTTGCTGTGATATTCACAGTGACGCTGCTCAGGGCTCCTCCGCGGGAGGCCCGTGTGGCCCAGGGAGCCCGCAGGAGCTTCTAGAAGGGCTTCAGGTGTAACTGACAGGGAGCACCGGGAGGCTCAGGGGCACAGCGCGCTGCTCTGATGCGTTCCCTTCATTCACAGTCATCCCTGCGCCGCCTAAGGATGGTGACCCTCTGAGAAATGGGTGCTTCTGCGCCTGTGATGTTGTGTGAACATCAAGGGCCCTGACACCCAGATGGTGTAGCCCGCTGCTGGTGGGGGTGGCTCCAGGGCTGAGCATGGACCCCGCACCAGGAGGTCCCAGTTTGATGCCCTGTGACGATCATGCAGGGGTTTCTGGATCACCCCAGTTAGAGGGCTTGCAGGAGTCAGCCAATCCATGTTTCCATCTCTCTCTCTCCCCCCCTTACTCTCTCGAAAAATCAATAAAAACTTTTTAAAAGAAAAAACCCCAGCTCTCCTGATGCACAAGGCCTCCCAGGTGGCCGGCTGGGGGCCAGATCCAATGTGGGGAACCTGTCACCTTTCCGCTGCCATGGCCACCGCTGCTGCCCACCCTGCCTCCTTCTGGCTGCGGTCCCTCAGCCCCTGGGCCGCGGGCTGCGCTGCACAGAGTCCGGCTCTCACTGCTCTGGGCGGACACGGGCCCCTCCTCAGGGGCCACGGGGTGCTGTGGCCGCCCAGCTCCAGGTCTGAGCCCCAGGGCTCCGGGGCCTGGAAGGCGGAGCCTCCTGGGCAGGGAGGCCTGGGAGTGGCCGCTGGGAGTCTCCCCTGGAGGAAGAGCTCAGGGCCCTTCTCCGTGAGCTCCTGCATCTGCAGGAAGCCCCGCGCACAGGAGCCAGCCCTGATCCCCACGGTCACGCTCAGCGGCCTGGCAGCAGCTGAGGATGTGCAGAGAGGACAGGGCCACACAGCCCGCAGCTCCACCGCAGCGCTCGCTCGGCTGTTGGTGAACAGGTCCCGGAAGGAGGAGCTGCAGCAGCCAGCAGGCCCGGTGGGCTGGAAGGCAGGGCCTGTGACCATGACACATCCCAGCACAGGCCTGACGCCGCTGCTCACTCAGGCGCCCCAGAAAGCCGCTGCCCAAGTTCCGGATCCCCACCTGCAGGGTCTGGGCCCTGGTGGCAGCTGTGCGAGGCCGCGCTCCGGGGGCTCCTGCAGGATCCGCAGGGTCAGCTGGGGCCAGACCTGGGCTGGGGGCGCACCGCCTGCGCCGGAACTTCAGCCTCCACCTCCTCCGCGGCCTCACAGCCTCCACCTCCTCCGTGGCCTCCGCCTCAGCAGCAGCTGCAGCCCGGGTGGCCATTCATTCTGGGCCAGGCCCCCCCAGCCCAGCGCGGAACCAACGCAAGCCGTGCCCATGATCCGCATCTTAGGGTTTGTTCTTGGACTACAGTTTCCCTCTCAGTCCCCCTGGTTGAGGTGAAGGGGCTGGTTCCCGGCCACAGGGCTGCCGTTCAACCCGTGGTCCCTGGGGCAGCGGGCCCTTCCAGGCGCAGGGGCTGAGCCACGGGGCAGGTCTGTCCTCAGGACACATCCCTCCTTCCTTCAATGAAAC